ATAAATAATATTTACTCAAAGTTCATCGATTTACCAATGAACCAATTTATAGTGTATTATAGTATTTATAGTATTATAGTATTTATAGTATACAACTTATTACATAAAAAAATTTAATTGTATTGTATAAATTTTGTGTTAAAAATTTTTAATATTTATAATTTAAATTTCTTAATTTTAATCGAATATTATTATTTTTTTTAATCAATTAAAATTTTTAAAAAAATTAGTATGATAAAATTATGTAATTTTAATTTCATGAAAATTTTAATTAAAAAATTTTATACAAATCTTTGTATTGTATTATGATCTTGTAATTTTTTTAATGAATGCAAATTATTCCACCATTCCGGCAATTTATGTTCAAGTATCAATTTAAACCAAGGAGTTAATGGAGCATTAAGATTTTTTACAAAATTGTTAATTTCTGATTGTGATATCCAACAAAGTTCACTAATTTCGTCTGGATTTGGATCTAATTTTAAATTGTCTTTTTGTATAAATAGTACATAATCTATTTCATGTTCACCCCATTCACTTTCCACTGCAAAATAATGAATTCTTGTTAAATATACAAAATCTGATATTGATATTTGTGACAGAGGAATTCCTAGTTCATAATTAAGTCTTCTTCGTGCTGCTCTACGAATTCCAATTGCATCATGTTCTTCAGTTTCTTCAGAAATTTCAAATAATGGATGACTACAACATGTATTTGTATAATGATTTGGAAATGTTACCTAAAAAATATTATTTTATATTATTCAAATATATCTTTCAATGCAAACATAGAATTTTCTATATGATAAGAAATATTTTACCTTAGTAGCAGATCTTTTTTGAAGTAATAATTCTCCTTTATCATTGAACAAAAAGACACTAAATGCTCGATGAAGTAAAACTTGTCCATCAGGATTAACAATATGACATTCCTTTTTTGTAGCATCACCGATAGATTTATCATATGAATCAACAAGAATACAACGTTCTTGTAAAGCAGCTAGCTGCAAAGTAGCTTCAGCAGTACTTAATAAATTCATTCTGGAAGATGTCAGAGTTTGTACACCATTAAACATTGTTCGGAACACTTTAGCTATCATAATAGCGTTTTTTTTAAATAATATTCAATATATTTATAATATTTTATGCATGTAAATTTTTTTTTAGTACATATGGTAATTTTATTTATTTATTCTGTAAAATATAGGTTAACTAAATCAATGATCTCCCGTAAATTTCAAATTTTAAATTCGTTAAGATCGTTTTTAAAGTAAAAATATAAAATATATATATTATAATATAAAATTTTACTTTTTCTAAGAAGCAGCCAAATATTTTCACATATATATTAAACAATTATTTTTTCTTGATATCACAATATATTTTTATAATTATACAATTAAAGTATTTTATTTACAGATAATACTTAAATGAACGTTAACTGTAAACTACCTCTCATTTATATGTATCATCTCTTTTATATATAGTTTACATACCTACTTTATCTACAGATCTATTTATAAATGTATATTACGAAAAATACTTATTTTATTGAATTTTACGTCAATATATTTTATGAAGATATTATTATTAAAATATTATAATTTATGAAATTTAATTCATATTTAAATGATTCATTAATTTTCTTTATACATATTAAATAATTATAAACAATTATTAAGTAAATTCTAAAAATTAAAATCAAAGATTTCAAATAATTATTTCGCATTTCTTATGTAAATTTTTTAATACTAATACAATATAATATAATAATTTTTACAATATTATTTTTATTATTACTACATACAACCATAGATTCATAGCAATATTTAGAAAAATTAATTTATATATAAAATATATATATTTTTATTAGAACATATAAAAAAAAATTAATTTATAAAATATACTTTTTATAAAAATATAAATTATATATAATAATTACATAAATTTTATATATGAAATATATAGTGCCATCTTTGGAATATTAAAAACATTTAAAGAATTATATTTCTTAAAATCTTTAAAAGATGGTACTGATCTTCAATTCTATCTTGCAAAGAAGAAATGTCTTTAGTACTTAACAGATGGCATTGATGATCAATTCATACTCTATACTTTTTTCAATATTTTCGATTCTTTTTTTGTGTTTTATTTGCAACATTCTAAGAATGATGCTAATTTCAATATTTTTATTCTATCTCTATCTTTCTTTCATTATTTGTTATTTTCTTATCTATATTGCTCTTAATCTTTACGTAACTTTAACTACAAATGAGGTACGATATTCCATATATATTCAATAATATTTTCATCATCTTCCCTAAGAATTGTTATTTTATATACATATATCTTTTAAATAGATTTCTAAAATTATAATTGTAATTTTCGGATTTTATTTGTACAACAAAT